GTTACTGCCCAACAAGGCTCCTTTCCATTGCCCAGAAATCCCTCCAGGTTCACCTGCATCTGCGCTTCCAGCCCCCGTCACTTCTCCACGTTTGTAGCCGCCACGTGGTCAAACCGAGGACATATTTCCCTATCTCTTCTTTCTGGGCCTCTTTTGTCCTTCCTCTCTTATCTCACGAAGAAAGAACAGATTAAGTATAACACAACATGATTGATGATACAGCAGAATATCAGTTTTTAAATATTTCAAAACACACTCTTTAAGTTTAGGCCCTTAAATTTAAATTGGCAGAAATGCACAAGGTAGTGAGCTTTCTTTATAGACCACGTTTTTTTTTTTTGGTATGTGCCCCTAGCTGAAAGCAAACCCAGGACTCACTGGTCCGCAGGCTGGCACTCCATCCGCTGAGCCAAACCGGCCAGGGCTGTAGACCACATTTTAACTTTGAGGTTGCAGATAGTATTTTGAGATTGCATTTTCACACACTTCATTTGCACTCTCATATATGTGCAGTTTTTTCCAATCCTTACCTGAGATATTTTTATTGATTTTAGAGGGGGAAGGGGAAGAGAGATTGATTGATTCATGGTCCCACTTATTGATGCATTCATTGGTTGATTCTTGTATGTGCCCTGACTGGGGACCAAACTGCTACCTTAGTGTATCAGGACAATGCTCTAACCAACTGAGCTACCCAACCAGGGCTATTTCTATTTAAACGTAAGTTTCACCTTTTACTATTGAAAAGCTCAAGTTTTTTAAGAATTCGCAGGCCCCAAGGGTCACAAACTTGCAGCTGGGCAGAATATGGCCCAGGGCTATTTTGCTTAAAACAGTAATTTAGTATTTGGAAACTTTTCACATTAAAAATATAAATATCCAGGCATTCTTCAAAAACTCTGGCAACACTAAGTGCTCATTTCCCACATGGAAACAATTGGCAAGAACTGTGTAGCTGCTGTTCACTGAAAGTAAGTCCACTGCGCTTTGGTTCACCCAGATCCCATTGTCTCCCTGACCTGGCCTACTGCACCTGGGGACATTTAAATGATGAAATAAAGGGCAGAGGATGTTAACTCTGCCAACACAGTATAGGTCCAGTATCCTCACAACTCAAGATCTGCCCATCATTTTCTCACAAAGCTGGAGTCCAACCAGCCCTCCACAGTCAATCGTGAAAACTCCCACATTCAGTCTCCATGGTTAAAAAGGGTGTTCCTTAAATGCATTGGCTGTTTCCTGTTCCTTGGAAACTTGCCTGAAAAGATCCATGTGACTGGCTCCCTCGCCTCCTTCACAACTTTGCCGTTGTCATCTTCTCAGCAAGTCCTTCTCTAACCACTGTATTGAACGTTAAAACCACCTCTCCCATTCCCGCTATCCTGTTCTCTTCCCCCCATTTTCTACAGCGTTCACCACGTTTTAGCATCCGTGTGATTTTTTTACCATATGTCTTTTTTATTGTTGATTTTTAACTATATATCTCCTCCCACTAGATTCTAAAATCTAAAAGAGAAGATACAGTTATCTGATTTGGTAAAGGATCCCAATCAGCTCGAACAGTGCCTGAGAAATATGGGCACTTACTAAATATTTGCTGAGTGAATGAGTGACCAGGATTCAGGAAGGGTGGTGGCCAACTCTGGGTTAATGTTATGGGTTGAAATGTGTCCCCCCAAACGATGTGTTGAAGTCTTAAACCCAGTCCCTCACAATGTGACCCTATTTGGAAATAAGGTCTTTGCAGGGGTCAAGTTAAAATGAGGTCAGGTAGGTGGGTCCTAATGTAACATGACTGGTGTCCCTATATATAGGGAAAATTTGGACAAAGACAGATTATGCACACAGGGAAGATGAATACCATGTGAAGATGAACTCAGATATGACAGTGGTGCATGTCATATCTGGAGTGCCAAAGTTTGCCAGCAAACCACCAGAATCTAGGCAAGAGGCATGGAAGGGACGCTTCCTCACAGCCCTTGGAAGGAAACAACCCTGCCTAGCCTTGATTTCAAATTTCTCCAGACTTTGAAACAATCTATTTCTGGTTATTTTAAGCCCCCAGTGTAGGGTACTTTGTTGCAGCAGCCCTAGGAAGCTAATATGGTGAGTCTCTAGATATTTGAGTAAGCTTAAATGAGGTTTGGAAACTTAATTAAATCTGGAGGTGCCTGTAAACTGTAAAACAATATACAAACAAGGTACACTAATTAAACAAGAATATGCCCTCAAGGGTCAACTGTGTCTGCCCCAAGGACTGGGTAGAACAGGTGCTAAATTCTGCCTTACTTCCCTCTTTTATGCATCTCACCCCTACCGTTTACTATCATCTCCACACAAAAATACCTGCTCTAAGTCACAGGGGAATTCCTAGCTTACATGTCCCAAGAACGATTCAGCTGGGCAGCATTCAGCTCCTCTTGAAGATCTCGCTCCAAGCCTGAACTGGTCTGTGCACCTAATCAACTCATTTGCTTTCCAGAAGATCAGGAATCTCTCTGGTATGGTTTACTGTTTAAAGAGATTCTGTTCAGATAGATCCCTCACCCAAGAGAATTGGGAGGAGAGGTGGTAGTGTCCTTCATCAGGATCTGTGATCATCGGGCTCAGCAGGGTCAGTAATGACACTGTAAGGGCCAGGCTCCAGGCTTTTGGTGAGGATAGTGTTTGTGTGCAATTAGGGGTCTTTCCTGGGCTTTTCCATGCTGGAAAATGAGGTTTCTTCTGCTCACTGCTTAAGGTTTGATAAGGTGATTTGGTCTATCTCCTGGGCCACTTGGCTGCAGAATTGCTAACAGTCTAAAAATATAAGTCATAGGTACCAAGAAGGTAAGGGTGTCCTAGTATACAGGCAGACAAACAAGACAGGGATTTGGAGACTAAGCTGGAAAGGATTCAACACCAGGAGGGCTAGCCATCAGAAGGAGCAGAGGAAGCAGAGGAAGATCCCAGCCCTGAACGAATAGGGCAGCAAGAAAGAAGCCAATTCTTGCTCCCTGGAGTAGGACACGTGAAGGAAAGAAGTTGGTATGAAGGAACAAGCCAAGATCCTGGGGATGGAGCTGTGGGTCAATGTCAGAGATTCTGGCAGCAACACTGACTTAGGAGTGAAGTCACAAATTCTCACCTGAGGCTTTAAAATTACATTGGTTCTGAACAGGATTCCTAGGAGAGCCAATTATGTGTTAAGCACATGTTAAGCACCTGTGATATGTTAAGACTTTTACTAGGCACTGTGTGGTACAAAGGTGACATTGTTTTCAAGGCATTCACAGTGTGGTAGGGCAAAAATTAAAGATAAGTTAGTGATAGAATAGTGTATTAAATATGGTAAGAGTGTATGACAGAGAAGGGAATGTCGCGTAGTTAAGAGCTCAGGCTCTGGGTCCAACAGATCTGAATTTAGATCACAACTCTCCAGTTATAGGTTGCATGATCCTGGGCAAGTCACTAAGCTTCTCCAAGCTTCAGTATCCTTTCTTGTACATGCAAATCATAATAGTACCTACTTTATAAGATTCTTTCGATGATCAAATTAGATCATATATGACTGGTACCTAGTAAATTATCAATAACATCGACTATTATTTATAATAAAGGTTGTTATTATAATTATCTGGGGGAAGCTAATATCAGAAATGTTTCCAAGAAAAGATGGGATTTGAGCTGAATATTGAAAAAATAAAGACAAATTGGGTGGGTGTTGGTTTGGGAAGACACTAATGAATTGCATTTGTTTTTTTATAATTATGCCCTGCCACATTCCTCAAATGATTTTTGGTAGGATGATGAATTCAGTGTTAGTCAATTGAGTGTGAGATGCTGGTGAGCAAGCAACACAGGATGTTTTCACTCTTCATTTCTAACCCTGCTATCAGCCCAAATCTTACATTTTTCCCCATTATGATTGTGGCTCCATGAAATTAATACAACTATTAATCATGTTTCTACTTGATTTTGAATACTAATAGAAATAACACAAAATATAATTGATGACACTAAAATTGAAACCCAGTAAACTTTGTTTTGAGTGAAGTATTGACATATAAGTCTTAACCCGGAAAAACTGGTCTTGGTAGGAGTAAAAAAGACTTACTTTGGGCAAAATTATAATAGGTAAAATTTGACATGGACAAAAATAAAATAAAACCAATTACTAAATCAAATCTTAGTTGTAAATGTAGAAAATAATTAATTCAAAACAAAGGAATTTCCGTAAAATAAAAATTTAAGCCCTGGCCGGTCTGGCTCAGCAGTTGGAGCATCAGCCTACGGACCAGAGAGTCCCAGGTTTGGTTCGCTCTAGGGGCACAAACCAAAAAAAAAAAAAAAGAAAGAAATTTAAATACAGCTTAATTGTACTCTATAGGCAATTAGTGGAGAAATGAAATGGCCAGAGTCAAGTTTATTCCAAAAGATACCTTTTGCTTAAAAAGCCTTCTATATTAATGTAATACTGATGAACGTGTTCACATTCATAAATATAAGATCAGAACATCCATGGGTGCAATATAGTGGGTAAAAATCTCCAGTGCTTATGACATCCAGGCGGATGGGTCCAGGAAGCAGTCAGAACTCTGTTTAGAGCTTAAGAAGTCATGCAACAACTAGGGATTTTGAAGTCATCACCACATAAATATTAATCTGGTCTCTTTTTTTGCATCATCCATAAAATAATGCCTAGGAAGAACCTAATAAATTCCTTTTGAATGTCAGCCCCACAAGCATGATGAACAGAGGAACTGCACCTGTAAGGTTAATCATTTTAATTTAGCACTTATTGAATACTTTATAAAAATGAACTTTCAGAGCTTTGAGAATAATCAGTATGAAGCTGAGGTCCATCAAGACTCAGACATCTAGAGTATAACCCCAAGTACTATTAAGAAATATGTTCTTTCCAGTTCATAAGATGAAATATTTTCATCCCTTTGTTCCTAGTCACTGAACATCTCCTGTTCTTTTAAAAATTGTTTTGTGTTTTACATTTGCTTCTATAGATTTCCTCATTCTCTACTTCTCAAGGTCATGGAAGATCTAGAGGAAACATTATTTGAAGAATTTGAGAACTACACCTATCCCATGGATGATTACTCCCCAGAGTCTGATTTGGAAGGGGAAGCGCCCCTGGGAATGGTTCACTGGATCTCCTTGGGGTTATACTGTTCAGCATTTGTTCTGGGCATCCCAGGAAATGCCATTGTCATTTGGTTCACGGGTTTCAAGTGGAAGAAGACAGTCACCACTCTCTGGTTCCTCAATCTGGCCATTGCAGATTTCATTTTTCTTCTCTTCCTGCCCCTGTATATCTCTTATGTGGCCATGAATTTCCACTGGCCCTTTGGCGTCTGGCTGTGCAAGGCCAATTCCTTTGTTGCCCAGTTGAACATGTTTGCCAGTGTTTTCTTCCTGATGGTGATCAGCCTGGACCGCTATGTCCACTTGATCCACCCTGTCATAGCCCATAGGCACCGAACGCTAAGGAACTGCCAGATTGTTATCGTACTCATTTGGCTTCTGGCTTCTCTAATAGGTGGTCCTTCCCTATACTTCCGGGACACTCTGGAATTGAATAACCGCACCATTTGCTATCAAAATTTCCACGAGCATGATCCTGACCTCACTTTGATGAGGCACCATGTTCTGACCTGGGTGAAATTTATTATTGGGTACCTCTCCCCTTTGCTAACAATGAGCATTTGCTATTTGTGTCTCATCATAAAGGTGAAGAAACAAAGCATTCTGGTGTCTAATAGGTATTCCTTGACCATCCTTGCTGTGGTTCTGGCCTTTTTGATTTGCTGGACTCCTTATCACTTGTTTAGCATTTGGGAGCTCATGATTCACCACAGTAGCTATTTCCACCAGGTGCTGCGGGCTGGAATCCCCCTCTCCACTGCTCTGGCATTCCTCAATAGTTGCTTGAATCCCATCCTTTATGTCCTAATTAGTAAGAAGTTCCAAGCGCACTTTCGCTCATCGGTTGCTGAGATACTAAAGTATACGCTGTGGGAAGTCAGCTGTTCTGGCATGGTGGGCGAACAGCTTAGGAACTCTGAAACCAAGAACTCATGTCTCCTGGAAACAGCCCAGTGAGATGCTACTCTTCCACAAATCAGAGCAAGGCTTTTGTGTGGGTCCCCAGGCCGATGTTTTCAGAGTATTGGGTTCCAAGATACAGAGCTGACCATAGCTTTTTGTTGTTTTGGGTCATTTTTTTGGCATCCCATTTTTGTTTGGATATAAAATTAAGGAAAGATCTTCATTCCCCCCCGCCCCGCAACTTAAATTATGTGTCATTCTTGTTAATTATACCATAGTGGATTAATCACTACTGTTGAGGCAATATCAGTTATTATTATTTAAATCTTTATAATTTTCTCTAAGTCCTAAATCTTATTAAATATATGATTAACTCATTTAAGCCCTGGCCAGTATGGCTTAGCGGTTAGAGGATTAGTCCCCAGACCAATGAGTCGTGGGTTTGATTCTGGTCAAGGGCACGCACCTCGGTTGTGGTTCGTCCCTGGCCCTGGTCAGGTCGTGTGTGGGGCAACCAGTCAATGTGGCTCCATCACATCAATGTCTCTCTCTCCCCCCCCCCCCATTCTATCTGATGATAGATGGAAAAATACCCTCGGGTGAGGAATAAAAAAACAAAAAATAATATATGATTAACTCATTTAAAAATGGTAAAATAGCCCAGCTGATGTGGCTCAGTGGGTGAGTGTTGACCCATGCACAGGGAGGTCGCCAGTGCGATTCCCAGGTTGTGGGCCCTATCCCCAGTGGTGGGGTGTGTGTGTGTGTGTGTGTGTGTGTGTGTGTGTGCAGAAGGCGGCCAGTTGATGTTCCCTCTCATCGATGTCTCTGTCTCTCTCCCTCTCCCTCCCTCTCTCTCTAAAATTAATCAAGAAAAATTATTTTAAAAAACATGATAAATAAGTTAGCTTAAGCTCACTTTAATTTTGTACAAGTAACCTATTAGACAAATTCTTAAAATACAATGTGTGTACTTCTTTATTTCATGTAATCTTTGTATGTACATTTATGAATTAAACTAATAGTTGGTTATAGTAATTTAATGTGCTTTGTAAACTGCCCCCAAATCTAGTTGTTTAAAAGAACAATTTAGTACTATTATATCTCACAATTCATAGAGTCAGGAATGCAGACAAAGCACAGAGGGAGGTCCGTCTCTGCTGCACATGTCGAGAGCCTCAGCTGGACTGGGGTAACCCAAGTGGATGAGGTTCCCAACAGCTGGGCACTGGCTGAGCTGCTCTCCTCTCCCCTCTTCCCTCCCCACTCCTCTCCTTCTCCTTCCCTCCACTCTCCTCCTCTCCTGCCTTCCTCTCCATTCTCTTCCTTCTTCACACAGTTGTTCCAGCATCGCACCTCAGAGTAGCCAGACTTCTTATATGCAGTTTATGGGCTCCAAGACCAAGGTGGACACCTCTAGTCTCCTGAAAGCTATGCCCAACACAGACAGTATATTTCCAGTGTACTCTTGGTCAAAGAGAGGAAGGCCTCTTTGCTAGTTTCTGGCCCCTTTATAGCTTTACCCTTGACCCGTTCACCACCAGGGTTTGAGATTTTTCACTCTGGGTTCCCCTTGAGGGACAGGTTCTGAGTTCCCAGGATCAGGGGAAAAGCTGGAGGATCCAAGGGAAAACAAAGGGGACTTCGTAGTCTCATCCTTTTTGAGCAAATGGAGACTCTCAAGGCTGAGGGAGAAGGAGGGAGGCTGAGGAACAGGAAGGGGATTAAGCAGCCAAGGGCGGAAGGAAGTTAGTGGAGTAGGTGGTATTCTAGAAGTTAAACTTCAGGTGCTTTTAACTTTAGTGAGTTAGGAACCACAAGCCATTTATCGAATTAGGTTCAATGGGCACAATATTGAGGGCCTGTGAACTTTCCAAGGGTCTATGAAAATATTTGAGAGCTTAAAAATTATTATTGGCTCTAGAATACAAAAAGAAAACTTGAAAAGACAAAATGAATACTTAATTACATGTCTATAAAACATACCTTTATGCCACTTGATCAAATGAAGTATATAATAATTATATAAAAACTTTAACATGGGATTTCAATATGTTTCAAGGTTTGATATGAGGACTGGAGCTTCCAAAAAGAAAAATGCTCTAAGGAGGGTCTACAAAGGTCTTAGAGGAACTTTGAATTCATTTAACAATCTAATGAAAGTTAGAAGTCCTTTCTACAGAAAAATGCTTTTAAATATCAAGGAGGCTTTAGACCCCAGGCTAAGAATTCCAGTTTAACGAGCTTTTATTTTTGTTTTTTATCCACACCCGAGGACATTTTTCCATTTTTTGTTCAGACAGAGTGCAAGGGAGGGAGAGGAAGAGAGAGTGGGAGAGAGAGAAACACCGACATAAAAGGGCCGGGGACAAACTACAACCGAGGTACGTGCCCTTAGCAGGAACTGAACCCAGGTCTCTCTGGACCGCAGGTCAATGCTCTTAACCGCTGAGCCAAACCGGCCAGGGCTTAACGAGCTTTTAAATTAGCTGCTAGTGGGGATATTGACAGGACTTCACTAGGAGAAAGAAGCAAGCAGTACAGGCACTTCCCAGCAGAAACAGGAGTTAATTTTTTATTCTCAGTTTGAGGGAAGATCCAAAGAGTAAGGTAGGACTGGAGCTTAGACCCAGGATTCAGGACTCCAGGCCTCCTCCCCTGGCAGTTGGAATCTGGTTAGTGAGGCTCACCAGGGGTCTAATGACCAGCAGTAGGATGCAAGATTAAATGGGCTTATCTTTGGATAAAAAAAAACAATCAATGAAAAATCAAGCATTTTCAATGTTGCTATAGTCTCCATTATTTTTTAAGTAATTCCATTAAGCTTATAAAATATTTCATTGAGTGGCCCTGGCCGGTATTGCTCAGTGGTTAGAGAGTCGGCCTGCAGACCGGAGAGTCCTGGGTTTGGTTCCCACTAAGGGCATGTACCTCGGTTGCAGTTTGTCCCTGGCCCCAGTTGGGGTCGTGTGGGTGGCAACTACTCGATGTGTCTCTCTGACATCGTTGTTTCTCTCTCTCTGCTTCCTTCTCTCCCTCCTCTTCTATCTGAAGATAAATGTAAAAATGTCCTCCAGTGAGGATAAAAATTTCATTGAGTGTATATGCCATCATTTAGTCATTTCCATTTATGTTAGGATTATAATAGTCCTTTTATTTACCTGCTTCCATCCACACCATCTCCAGATCTGAGTTCTGGCTTTATGTTGTCAATCTCTGGCTTAGAAACCTTCAAGGCTCCCCATGAATGAGCCAGCCTATAATTCAAATGCCTCTACAACTTGGCCCCACTCTAATTCCAGATGCTGCAAAATGCAGCCAAACTGGTTGAATTGCCTCCCAAATGTCTATTCTCATTCCTGGGTTTATTATTCTGCCTTTCACACTCTCCTGGAACATTCTCTCTCTCTCTCTCTCTCTCTCTCTCTCTGGAACATTCTCTCTCCCTGGAACCTTTTTTCTTTTTTAACAAACTGATCTAAGTCTATCCAGTTTAAGCCCCAATTTCTCTAAAAACCTTTTCTTTAATTCTAGCCTTCCCTGACCTTCTGAACTTTTGGATTACTTGCTTAATCACAAAATGACTTTTATACTTTTAAACAATTTTATGTGTGTTTGAACCACCTCCCTATAGCAATTTTCTTCAACTCGTTTTTCTTTTTTTTCTTTTTCTTTTTTCTTTTTTATAGCAGCTAAGTGACACTGGGTGAATCATTTTACATTCCTTCCCACACTGTACCCAGCCCTGTGCTGGGGATGCTGAATATGAAAAATAAACAAGATTTCAGTTATTGTAATCACCCATGGGGCATGTAAAAAGAGGTGGCCTCTAATTTTTCCTGTCATTCATTCCAAAGACAGAAACGGGGGAAAAAAATCTGTATATATACACCTAGGCCCTCTGAAATTATGGGTTCAAAACAGTTCATTCAGTATCCTGGCTCACTTGCAAATGTGAGCATTGCTCATAAATAGCAAAAAACTGAAAGCTATCTAAAAGTCCAATAAATAGCCTGGTTATATAAGATATGAAACAATGGATTATGTAACTTAAAAAATGAGGAGCTTTTTATGTACTGATATGGAATATCTAAGATACAGATGATCTCCAAGATATCTATTTCTATAGACAAAATGAAAAGTGCAGAACAGTTTGTGTTGTATGCTGCAGTTAGTCCCAATGAGTATGCTTAGACTAGCTCTGGAAAGACCTAAGAACCTGTTGATCTTGGTTACTTTTATAGAAGTGAATAGGAGGCCCAGAAGAGGGGAGATTTCATTGTATAACCCCCTAATTTTGAACTATGTTAATATATTTTTTATTTAAAAAATAGGAAATTAAAAGATATTATTAAATATATTTTTTATTCAAGGCTGTGGAGTCAAGATTTTGGTCACATTTCATCAGTTATCTTTTTAAGATTTACAGGACAGCCCTGGCTGGTTTGGCTCAGCGGTTAGAGTGGCAGCCCTCGAACAGAAGATTCTGGTCAAGGGCACATATCTCGGTTACGGTTCGGTCCTCAGCCCTGGTTGTGGTCCTACAGGAGACAGCCAGTTGATGTATTTCTCTCACATCGGTGTTTTTTTCTCTCTCTCTCCTCACTCTGTCTGAAGATAAATGGAAAAATATCCTCGGGTGAGGATTTAAAAAATAAAAAATGATTTATAGGACAGCTATGGTTTGAACTCACCACTCTAAATTTTTAAACTCCTTTTACTTTTAGCCAATTTTTAAAATAATTTTATCATTAGTATTTGTTAAAACTAAACGTTTTGGTCAAGCTATTTAGTATCAATTCCTTTAATATGTCAATGACTTTTGGCTGCTATTCACTAGTTACATCTTTCCATGGCCCGGTTTCCAGAATCTACAGTATGTTGAGTCTTCAGAAAGTGAAGTGCTGCCCTCTACTGGCCCTCATGATACTGACAACCTGAAAATTTCTCCAGTGATTTTAGACTGGGTCTGTTGGACTAAATTGCTTAGTGAAGATGATTTCAATCATCAATGTACATACATGTTTAATTAAATAAATTTTCTTTAGAATTTAAACAATTTCCCACACTTTCCCTGGCCGGTTTGGCTCAGTGGTTCGAGGGTCAGCCTGTGGACCA